TGATGAAGAATGCCTTGAATTTGCTCAAGAACACTTTGAATGTAGACGAAGAACACTTTGAATGTAGAGAGAGAATCTTACCTCCTACGAATTCTTCTTCCTTGCTTCTTGAATTGTAGAGAGAATTTTGCTCCTACGGTTTCTGCTCCTTCAGTTGTGTTTTGAATTGTGAAGGGAGGATCCCTATTTATAGTGGTAGAATAAGAGTCCTTGATGGGCCTTACTGATGATGTGGCGCGATTTGATTGGCCCGATTTAAATTGATATTTATCTCTTGTAACTTGGAAGAGAAGAAATAATCCTATTGGCCAATACATATTTAAAATCAGTTATCTATTTTAAATTAGGAATTTATTTAATAAAAATTCTTAATATAAAAATAGAAAATATATAATTGAAATTTAATATAATATATATATATACACGTATATATATATAGATATATATATGACTTTGAATGTTTAATTACATATTTGCCACTTGGATAAATTCACTCGGCTCTATGGAAATTAGTAATTTAATTGCTTGAAAATTTATTTATCTACAAATGCCCCCTCGAGACTTATTTACGGACAATGCTTTTTGAAGTGAATAAGTCACGAATATATCGAGTTGATTCGTAAATATATTTGGAGCTTTTCATGAATATACCCCGTAGATATTTGAATCAACAAGCCTGAAATGCATGCCCACGGTAATACATCATGGGCCCACTTTCTTCCCCAAATTTCTCGGTCTCACTCAAAATAATTTATTTAACCGATATATACGGCCCATCTTGAAAGGCCTGACCAACTTCAGCAAATCTCTCTTCTCTTTTATTTATTTATTTATTTATTTATTTATTTATTTATTTTGTTTTAATAAATAAAAACTTGAACCAATTGGGCCCCACTTATAACAACAAGCCAATTACAATCTTGATTTTGAACTTATTTTCATCGAAAATAAATTCAAAGAGAATGCCATCCGTAGACTTCTTTCACAAACACAAGTATTTGACTTCCGGTGTATTTTAAACTCTATTTAATTGGACAATTACAATCCTTGTATGAATCGGATTGCTTCCTTTCATGCTTATAAAAGGGAGACCCCTCCACGCTACTTCATTCATCATCACCTGCCATCAAGTCTTTGGGAGAAGAATTTTCAGCGTTATATATTAAGCCCTGCCTCTTTTTTTTTTCTCGGTGGTTTGCTGATTTTGTGTGAGCTTATTATATCGATTTTTATCTATCTCTTTGGGCATGTCCGCCACATATTTGATAATATGGCTTTTGAGAAACCACTGCATTAATTTTTTTTTTTTTTTTTGCTAAATTTATTGACTTTCTTTTCTTTCTCCAGGTTTTTTTTTCAACTCGACAGGTTCGATACGAAAATCGATTCTAGCACGGTTCCATGCCCCCATTATTTTTCTTCCTATTTTTTTTTTTGTCAAACTAATTGCTCTTTGTTTTGAATTGTTTTGACAGGTTTTGCGATGGTTTGTTTCAAGCAAGCTTTCTCCTCTTCCGGCGACGAGCAATTGGTAATTCTTGACGATCGTTACCAACCGAATGACAAAGGAACCATCTTGACGATTTATTCCCCCCTTATCGGTTCTTATGCAAAGCAATGGCCACGTCTCACGACTCCAAATCGCATGTCTGTTTGGTCTCACGAGCATCCTCATAATAAGTACGAGTACGTGTATAGCTTACGAGCATCAAATCATAAACCCGACAGATCCTTGCTTCCGGAAGAGTCAAGCGGTCCGAGCCTTTTGCCGACTTTGGGTGGCAACATCGTGAAGGGAAGAGTCAAGTGGGGAGATACTCTCGAGCTTTCCGGGGGCTTTCGATTCTTCAAAGGGTACTGGGAGTGGACCGAAGACGTTCTCAGTCGTTGCCAGCACAAGCTAAAGTCCGCAAAGATCTACGATCCTGTATATGCTTCCCTCTTCACGTACGACTACAATTCCGAAGTTATGAAGGCGTTCTTCGAGGCATGGTGTCCGACTACAAATACCCTCTTGACGTCTCCCGGAGAAATGTCTATCTCTTTATGGGATTTGCACATCCTCTCCGGGTTATCGTTAACCGGGCTGCTTTACGATGAAGTTGTCCCTGCCTCTCAAGAACTCGTCGGCTCCAATGCAAAGGGTGTTCGATATTCTCACCGTTCCTGCCGACATCTATTCCACGCCTACCACTTACTTCGGAAGCGCTCTAAAGATCCGTCCTCCAATGTCTCTGTCGAAAGCTGGATTCAGTTTTGGTCGAAGAAGCAGAAGAAGTACACTCAACCTCCTCCGCGCAAAGAAAAGAAAGGTGTTCGCCCCAAGTCAACTCACAATCCTTCTGGCAATATTGAAGCACATGCAAAATGGATCAACATTGAAGAAGCTGTGTTTTCGAGCATTAGCGTTGATGTCGAACTGAGGTCCGAGACGTACTTGGCGGCCCATTTGGCTTGTTGGCTTTGCACCTTCGTCCTCCCTACTGATGATGTAGGCATGATACGTCCTTCAATGTTCAAGATGGCTAGCATAATGGCAAGTGGGGAAGAAGTCTCTCTTGCAGTTCCTGTCTTAGCAAGCATCTTCAACGGCATAAATAGGATTTCAAGATCATTGAGACCCCATCAAGAGAACTCTCCGTTTCCTGTTCACTTCGTGTATAGTTGGTTGGCGCTTTATTTCAAGACCCATTGTCAAGTTCTGCAAGGCGTAGCCGTCGATGGCCCAAAGATGATATCTTATTCCGGAGAAGGAAGCGCTAGATACTACACCCCCGCGGATGCACGCAAACGGATTCACAAAGGAGATCTTATGTCTTGGACCTGTACCACGATCCCTAGGAGCGAGTCTTCTTTATATGTTGATGATGGAACAACAAAAGGTTCCGAGAGAAATTATTTCATCGCCATTCGCTCGAGCTATCTCTCCTTGCGGCGTGGTAATCGTTTCGTTATTGAGCCCTATAGTCCTCATCGATTTAGTCGTCAATTTGGTTATTACCAAGATGTGCCCGGAGTACTTGATGAAGATGTTCGCGAGGCTTCTTTAATAGACGGACTCCGTTATTGGCGTCTATGTGTTTTGCTCGAATCCATGTCTAAAGTGATGTTTTCCATCGTTCCTCAAAATCCGAGAAAGTTTCACACTGACGACTATAAGATATGGTGGACTAAAGCTTACGGAACTTATCTTGAAAATAAAGCTGCGAGTCTGATGAACTTGGAGTTAAGTAAGATTCCACTTGAAGACAAAGAAGACGAGGCAAGAGGTAGTCTCGACAATCTTTCTCGCGAAAATGTTCTCCAAACCAAAAATCCTCCTAGAGATATAAAGAAGAAGAACGTTTTGCCTCCCTCGGATGAGAGTGACAATAGCCATATAGAGCGTCATTGGAAAAGGCCGAAGAGGGACCCGCAATCTTCAAAACCACAAGATCTTCATATTGATAACAACGTGGACAGTCATTCTCGAACAAATGACACTTTTGCTGAGAAGGTTGCACTTAACACTTTTCCCTTTTTTTTTTTTTTTTTTTTTTTTTTTTTTTTTTTTTTTTTTTAATGAATTTTTTTTGTTTAGTTGGAAAAGGAGATAATTGACGTTGACGATCGCGAGGAATCTCAAGCTAGTCATCACTCCACTGCCAATGCTTGCTCAACAGGTGCAGCTTCGCCGCCGACTACTTTGACACCTGCCAGAACATCCAAGATGAAAGAGACCGCGAAAGGGTCGTACAATGGTGCTTGTTCAGTTTTTGTGGGTGAAAATTTCCTGAAAAATCACAAGCGGGTTTTTCTTCGCCAATTATGGCAAGATCTTCGTGTGAGGATAGTACGGACTTCAATTGATTCCATTTCGTCTATTCAAGAAGATGTCCAATTAGTTCTTGGAACCATGAGGGATCTTGGTGATTTCGACATATCCTGCATAGAGGAATTATTGAAGTCATTATTTTCCCAGGCGACTGCTTATGATAAGGTGAGGTCGTCGAATTCTGAGATGGCATCTAAAGAGATTCTAGCACGACAATTAGATGAGGCTAAAGATCGTTTGCATACTGCTCAAGCTAGAGAACACAAAGAGACTCTTCAAGTTCAAGTCACCAATAATGATTTGGAGAGTGTCAAGAAAGAGCGTGCTGCTTTGAAGGTGAGGGTGGGACAGTTGAGATCATCATTAAAGCGGCAACGAGAACTCCTTGATACTGTTAAAACAGAAATTCGTGAGATTAACGAAGAGATTGCTGCCATTGAAAATACATCCCCTTTAAGTGATGATTTGGTAGAAGAATTGCGCGCTTCTGCCGAGCTTTTAGAAGATGCCAAAGAAAAGTTGAACGATTTAGACCCTTTTCGCTTGAGCTAGATTTAGATTTTTTTTTTTTTTTTTTTTTTTTGTTTATTTCACTTTTATGATTCATGAAATAAAAGAAAAATTCTCATTTTCGATCGTGCTCCCCTAGTATTTTGTACTTATAATTTCAACGAAAAAAGATAGAATTTTTTTTTAGGAAAGGACTGAACTTAGAGAATATCTAAGCTGCCTACGTACCCCGAATGGGATCAAGTCATAACGTAGTTCAAAGAAAAAAGATAGATTTTTTTTTTTTTTTTTTAAAGGAAAGGACTGAACTTAGAGAATATCTAAGCTGCCTACGTACCCCGAATGGGATCAAGTCATAACGTAGTTCAAAGAAAAAAAGATAGAATTTTTTTTTAGGAAAGGACTGAACTTAGAGAATATCTAAGCTGCCTACGTACCCCGAATGGGATCAAGTCATAACGTAGTTCAAAGAAAAAAGATAGATTTTTTTTTTTTTTTTTTTTTTTTTTAAAGGAAAGGACTGAACTTAGAGAATATCTTAGCTGCCTACGTACCCCGAATGGGATCAAGTCATAACGTAGTTCAAAGAAAAAGATAGATTTTTTTTTTTTTTTTTTTTTTTTTTTTAGCCGTGCACAGTTTCAACTCATGCGGGCCAGGAGCCTTCTCCTCCGCTTCATGCGTAGTACCGCTTCAAGAACTTTCCATTTATCGGGCCAATTCTTAAACCATCTTCGGCAACCAACTTGTACGCTCCATTTGTGTATGCTACTTTGACGACATAAGGACCATCCCACTTTGAAGTAAATTTATTCCCCGTTTTGTGAGTGACGATGATGGGCCTCCTTACGGCAAGTACCAAATCTCCAACTTGAAACGATCTTGGCCGCACCTTCTTGTTAATCGCCCTAGAAAGACGAGCTTGGTAGCATTCAATACTTTGTTGTGCCTCTAATCTTTTCTCGTCAAGAGCTTCCAATTCTGCAAGACGCAAACGGGCATTTTCTTCTTGAGTGAGTTCTTCTTGTATAGCTATCCTCAATGATGGAATTTGTTTTTCAAGAGGCAAGACTGCTTCCACACCGTACACCAAAGCATATGGAGTGGCTTGAGTAGGTGTTCTATACGTTGTTCTATAAGCCCCTAAAGCTTCTCCCATCTTCTCGTGCCAATCACGTTTTGACTTGGCGATCACTTTCTTCAGCAAATTACATAAAGTCTTGTTGAAGGCCTCGGCGAGTCCATTGGCGGCAGCGTTGTACATTGAAGACTTTCTTTGCTTGAAGCCGAACTTTTCACAAAGTTTATCTATCACACTGTTGCAAAATGGCTTTCCGTTGTCTGTGATCACATATCGAGGAACTCCGTAACGGTAGATGATGTTGATGCGGATGAAATCAGCAACGTTCTCCTTCTTTACTTCTCGAAGAGGCACTGCTTCAGCCCATTTGGAAAAGTAGTCTGTTGCTGCCAAGATATAGAGATGTCCAGCTGAAGACTTTGTCATAGGTCCAACCACATCCAAACCCCAAGCATCAAAGGGCCATGAGGCAACAGTAGGGTGCAATGGCTCCGGCGGTTGATGAATAAAGTTTGCATGAAATTGACAAGGTTGGCATTTTTGGGCATACTCCATGCAGTCCTTCACCATAGATGGCCAATAATAGCCCATTCTTTTTATTCGGAAATGTAGCTTGGGTCCTGACTGATGGGCGCCGCAAACTCCGGAATGAGCTTCTTCTATGGCTTGAACGGCTTCGTCATCACCTAAACATCTCAAGAAGACTCCATCAAATGAACGTCTATAAAGTGTATCTTTATAGTAGATGAAACGAGCCGCACGACGTCGAATATCAACCCTTTGACGTGGATCATTAGGCAACTTTTCGTACTTCAAGTAATCCACAAACGATTGACGCCAATCTTCTTTCTCGATTTCAAACACGTAAACCACTCGAGTTTCGTCTTCTTCAATTTCTTCGTGTTCAAAAATTGGTGGTACGACCCACCTCTTGAAAATTGATATACGAGCTCCGTCTTCGGGCATGGCTAAAGTAGAAGCAAGTTTTGCCAATGCATCTGCTTGTTTGTTATCCTTTCTTGGCACATGCTCTATCATCACATCACCAAGGTATCCGATAAGTCTTTTAGCATAATCCACATAAGGGAGTAAATCGAGCTTCTTTACTTCGTATGATCCGAGTATCTGATTGATCACCAACTTGGAGTCTCCATATACCTCCAAATTTAGTTGCTTTATATCAACTGCCATTTCTAGCCCAAGGATAAGAGCTTGATATTCAGCAACATTGTTGGAGCAATTTTGTGTTAAGGTAAAAGAGTGAGGCAACACTTCGCCGTTGGATGTGACGAATACTACTCCGGCGCCCGCTCCTTCTCTGTGAGAAGCTCCATCAAAATACATCTTCCAAGGAGGACTAGCTTCAATCACAAGAACATCTTCATCGGGTAGATCATCGCATAACTCCCACTCTGCAGGGATAGGGTGATCCGCCAAGAAATCGGCTAGAACTTGTCCTTTCACAGCCTTTTGTGGAATATATGTTATGTCAAACTGCTGCAATTGCAGGTACCACCTTGCAAGTCTGTCGGATAGGACGGGTTTTGACATGACATACTTTAGAGGATTCATCCTTGAGATTAGACGGACAACATGCGCTTGAAAATAGTGCTTCAACTTTTGAATTGCAAAAATGAGTGCTAAGCATGTCTTTTCGATTGGCGAATAGTTCAATTCATTTGGTGTCATTGTTCTACTCAAGTAGTATAAGGCACTCTCTTTTCCATCATCATTCTCCTGGGCTAGTAAAGCTCCGACAGATCGTTCTTGAGCAGCAATATAGAGTATTAACGATCGTCCGGGCACTGGTGCAATCAACACAGGAGGCTTCGTTAAATACGATTTTATACTTTCAAAGGCACTAGTGCAAGCTTCATCCCATTCAAAGGGAACATTTTTCTTCATGAGTCGGCTGAATGGTTGACATCGACCGGCTAAGTTTGAAATGAACCTTCTTAGGTATGCCAACTTTCCTTGCAAACTTTTGAGCTCATGAATGTTCCTAGGCTCGCGAATCTTTAAAATTGCATCAATCTTGGCTTGTTCGATTTCTATGCCTCGGTGACGAACTACGAATCCAAGAAACTTCCCCGAAGTAACACCAAATGCACATTTCAATGGATTCATCTTCAATTGGTACCTTCTCAAGCGCTCGAAGACTTTTCTCAAACTTTGGAGATGATCTTCCCTTCTTTTGGATTTAACTACCAAGTCATCCACATAACATTCAACATCTTTATGGAGCATGTCATCAAATATCTTCTGCATGGCTCTTTGGTATGTAGCACCGGCATTTTTCAAGCCAAATGGCATCACTTTATAGCAATAGATGCCCTTAGGAGTGCGAAAGGCTGTTAATTCTTCGTCTCTCGGCGCCATTCGTATTTGATTGTATCCTGATGACCCATCCATAAATGATAATGCTTCGTGGCCCGTAGTAGCATCAATCATTAGTTCGGCTATTGGCATTGGAAAGTCGTCCTTAGGGCATGCTTCGTTCAAATCTCTAAAGTCAACACATACACGAATTTGTCCATTCTTCTTTCTGACAGGGACAATACTTGAAATCCATGTTGGGTACTTGACTTCTCGAATGAAACCAACATCAATAAGTTTATTCACTTCAGCCTCAATTGCAGGGACTAATTCGGGTCTAAATCTACGTTGGCCTTGCTTTACAGGGCGAGCTCCTTTCTTCACGGAGAGATGATGTATTGCCACTTTTGGGTCCAATCCGGGCATTTCTTTATAAGACCATGCAAACACATCCTTGAACTCGTGCAACAATTCAATATAAGTCTCCTCTTCGTTGACGGCCAGTAAAGCGCTAATGTAGATTGGTCGAGGATTCTCCGCATCTCCTAAATTAATTTCCTTTAATTCATCGATGGTGGCTTTGACTCCTTCTTCAAGCTCGGGTGGAGCAGTTTCAGCGTCTTCTTCCTCAATCAAGTCTATCTCACTTAAAGTGATATGATACGATGATGCCACACTTTCTCTGTCGTCTTCCTCGTCGTCTTGGACTTTCGTAAAGACGACGGTTCGTATTTTAGCCTTCAACTCTTCACCACATGATATGGTCAAATAAGTACGCCGTTTCATGCGAGATGGAATCGAACTTCGAATCCTTCGTGTTTTGGTGATTTTAGTATTAGAGACACCCAACTCTTGCTTGTTGCTTCTGTTATGCCCCCACTTTCTAAGTGGTCCAAGCCTATCAAAAACGGATGGCGTAAGTCTATCAAACCCTTGTTTGTCGCCTTTCTTATGCCCCCACTCTCTAAGTGGTCCAAGTCTATCAAAGACGGATGGCGCAAGTCTATCGAAGACAGATGGTGTAAGCCTATCAAAGACGGATGTCCTTCTCACTTTTGTCCCACTTTCAAGAAAATCGTCTGTTGATGAGAATTCGTCTTCGATTATGTAATTACTGGTAGCTCTATTGATAGCAATACGAATTGGCTTTTGAGGAACAAATCCAAGACCAACTCGAGGACTTTGAATAGCATGTCCTTTTTCTTTCAACATTATTTGAGTAGTATTGAGGCCATGCACCTTTTCGCCAACAACTTCGGCAGGAAGCCTTCCAAGCGTAGAATCTTCATGTGGGTTGAAACCAGCTTTCACTAAGAGTTTATAAGCATTCGGGCCAAAGCATTTTGTCATTTGGGACTCGGAGAATTCTTCGCATTCCTCCTGGGTTTCTTCTGTGGGATGAACAAATCCTTTAGGTGGTTGAGAAGTTGATCGCTTCTCGTCAATTGGTGTTAGGGGAAACATCAAATCTTTCAAAGCCTCACACGCTAAAGGATCCTTGTCTTGATTATTTCTTTGCTTTGGTTCTTCGACCGGTAGAATTTCTTTGGCTTTCACCGTCTTCTCATCATCAAGATAGTACTTAGCATCGGCAAAGTGAGCTTCTGCCTCTGTGAACGGTTTATCATCGGCGAGTATCATTTTAACTACTCCGTCTCGACAATACTTGAAGCATTGGTGCCAAGAAGAAGGAACCACACTATTCTCATGTATCCAAGGTCGCCCGAGAAGCATGCGATATGAGGTTCTTGCATCAATGACATGGAACAGTGCGGTGGACAACATATCATCCATTAACAACTCTATCCTTATGATACCAAGGGCCCTTTGTCCTTCTTGATTAAATCCTTGGATCATCAAGCGACTAGTTTTGAGCTCCTCCGTGGAGATCCCCAATTCCTTTAAAGTGTGCAACGGCAAAATATTGACTGCAGAACCTCCATCGATTAAAATTCTATTCACCTTCTGCTCACGAGCGTAGCCGGCAACAAACAATGGCCTATTGTGTGGTTTGGAACCAAGAAGCAAATCTTCATCAGCGAAAGTCATTGTTGACATGCATTTACCAATCACGGTACAAACTTCATTTGAAGATGGAGTTGTTCCACTAGCAGCGATCTCCTTTTCAATTATCGCGTTGCATGAGATGTTGATACAATCATCATCTTCTCTGTGTACGTTTGTTGTCGTCATGTCAAGGGACTCAAAACTGTTGACGATAAAATTTGTATTGGCGCTGATCTCTTCAAGTGATATCTTTCCTTGGCGAGTTAGCTGCATAATTTTGTCTTTGAATACGAAGCAATCATGAATTGGGTGCCCGACCAACCGATGATACTTGCAGTATTTTGGGTCATCGGTTTTGTTAGCTTCTTCGGGGCGCTTCATTTCAGGCAATTCGATAAGTTTTAAACTTAGCAAATCGTCAAATATTCCAGCCACATCAGTGTCGAGGAATGGATATTCCCTTGCTTGCATTTCTTTTAGAGTAAGTCTTCTTCTTTCTTGGGAAAAATCTTGTTTTTCCTCATTGTTTCCGTTCACTTTTCCTTGAAATTTGATAGGGGTCGCATTCACTGCCAAAGATTCTTTGCTTGAGGTCTTAGAGAAAACTCTACCCGCCTTCCGAAAGTCCTGTTTTTCTTTAGACTGTCGAGGCTCTTGAACTGGTGGTCCCTCAACTCCACTAGCCATAATGCTCAACTCCATATCGTGCGCTCTAGTGGCCAACTCTTCAAAACTCTTAGGTTGAATCCCTTGCAGGATATATCTGAGTCCCCATTGCATTCCTTGAATGCACATCTCGATAGCTGAAGCCTCTGACAATCGGTCCTTGCAATTCAGGCTTAAATTCCTCCAGCGGTTAATATAGTCAATGACGGCCTCTTCTTTCCACTGGCGAGAGTTTGTGAGCTCGATCATGCTCACTGTTCTTCGGGTGCTGTAGAAGCGATTCAAAAATTCTTGTTCCATCTGACTCCAACTGTCAATTGAGTTCGGTTCTAGGTCCGTATACCAATCGAAAGCATTCCCCTTCAACGATCGGACGAATTGTTTAACGAGATAGTCTCCGAAAGTCCCGGCGTTGTTACAAGTTTCAACAAAATGTGCCACATGCTGTTTTGGGTTACCCTTGCCATCAAATTGCTGAAATTTCGGGGGTTGGTAACCAATTGGCATCTTCAAGTCGTCTACTCTTAGAGTGTATGGCTTGGTATATGTTGATGACGATTTTGAACCCTCATTGAATTTGTCTTTGATAGTCCCCATGATGAACTCCTTCAATTGGTCTATAGGAATCAACCCCTCTGACGAAACCTGGAATTCTTCAGCCGGGCTCTTCTCCCTTTCGATTGGATATCGCCTTGCAGAAGTTTCAGCTTCGGTGTGATTTTCGCCTTGTTTTCCCATGTCGTGACTACCGTCAACCTTGTCCCGCAACATCGCGATTTGGGAGTCTTGTTCTTGAATGTGCTTTGTTAACCCTTCAATGGCCTTTGTCAAGATCGCCATTTGCTCCTCCATGGTCGTAGCATGTGTCGTCATGACGGGAGCCACTTCAGAGTAGTTTGATGCTGAAAGGGACGTGGATGATGAAGCTTCTCCTCTAGATCCTTCCACGCCTCCACCTATGTTGACGAGAGGTGACGAGCCTTCTTCGATGACTTGGGGCGTTGAGCTAGTCTCGGAGGATGTCTGCAGTTTCTTAGCCATACTCCTTGTAACTACGCCCATGCTTGATGAATTTGAAGTAGCAGCCTTCATCGTGAACGTAGAACAGCTACTAGGATCTTTGAGAGAGAGAGAAGAGATGAGAGGTAGAGAGGTCCCACTGGGCGTGCCAAAATTTGTAACAACAAATTCTTATCTGCGATATAAACAAACAAGAAAAATTGAACAAAGATGATTTTATTGAATTAAAATAAATAAATTGCGGGTTACAATCTCTATTTTAATCCTCTGATTCTTCTCTCTAGAACAATATATAGTTGACTTGAATTTTCGGAGTCGGGTCGTTGACTTGATCTTCTCCGGATTTGATTTTGGATTTGAATAACGTTTTCCGAGGGTCTTGCGACTTGAATCTCGGATCGAACGTTGAACTTTGACTTGATTTGACTTGAAGATCTTGAAATTCTTGATGGATTTGGCCCTTCAATCTTCCAGTGATCTTGACTTGAATTGATTAATGTTAATCCGAAGGTTTGGCACCGTTATCTCGGATCGAACGCTAGATTTTGATGAAGAATGCCTTGAATTTGCTCAAGAACACTTTGAATGTAGACGAAGAACACTTTGAATGTAGAGAGAGAATCTTACCTCCTACGAATTCTTCTTCCTTGCTTCTTGAATTGTAGAGAGAATTTTGCTCCTACGGTTTCTGCTCCTTCAGTTGTGTTTTGAATTGTGAAGGGAGGATCCCTATTTATAGTGGTAGAATAAGAGTCCTTGATGGGCCTTACTGATGATGTGGCGCGATTTGATTGGCCCGATTTAAATTGATATTTATCTCTTGTAACTTGGAAGAGAAGAAATAATCCTATTGGCCAATACATATTTAAAATCAGTTATCTATTTTAAATTAGGAATTTATTTAATAAAAATTCTTAATATAAAAATAGAAAATATATAATTGAAATTTAATATAATATATATATATATACACGTATATATATATAGATATATATATGACTTTGAATGTTTAATTACATATTTGCCACTTGGATAAATTCACTCGGCTCTATGGAAATTAGCAATTTAATTGCTTGAAAATTTATTTATCTACAGAGGGTCTGATGGTTCTGTTAGTTCCGGGCCTAGCGCAAATATTCATGGCTCCGGCGGTGGTGGAGTGAAAAAGTTTGTATTATACATGTTCTTGCGTTGTACAACTACAGTGGTTCTTCTTCTTTGTAGGTGAAGTAAATATAGGTGTTTCAGTATTGCACAAAAATAAACACAAATTGTTTCTTACTCATATTTTTTTTCCTCCCCCAGCCACCGTCGATATGACTACAGCAATGAAGCTGCATCGCACCTCGACCTCGAGACCGGCGACTCCTCCGCTGGCGTTGATGGGGGTGGATGGGGGCAGCAATCCTGATTTCTCTGATCCTTTCGACATTGCCAACACCAAAAATGCCTCCCATGAATCGCTCAAGCGCTGGAGGGTAAGATTTCGCCCGCGTGTGTTTGTTTATTGTATTGCATTTAATTATCACATGCAATAAATCGTTTGTTTTCATCGTAAAATGTGATGTCGTTGTTGGTGATTCTTTTATGGCCTCTGTTTTGGTTTCATGCACGTGACGTTTCGATGACCCGATCCCATAATAGTGCATCTTATTTTTCTGTTTGGAGGATAAATTAAACGGTTGAATGATTAGTCGTCGAATTTATCGTTTTTGCTTTTATGGTTATGGAATTTAAAATCACTTGTAATTCGATTATTACATGCATGTGCACCTCTTTCTGATTGTCTAAGTCTTGGTCCTTTTGCAGCAAGCCGCCCTCGTGCTTAATGCTTCGTGATGTTTCCGCTACACGTTAGACCTGAAAAAAGACGAAGAACAAGAAAAGAGAAGACGGATGATCAGAGCACATGCTCAGGTCATAAGGGTAATATTAAAACACATTAGTCTTCATTCCGTACTTTTATTAATTCGATTCTTGATATTCTGGTGTCGGTGGTTGTAGGCTGCACTGCTCTTTAAGTTGGCTAGACAACGAGCAATAGGTATTTTTCGAGCGTTGCTTCTTTTTAAGCTGGTTTTCCTATTTCCATCTCTGCTACAAACCTGATTTGATTTTCGTCAAATCAGTATTAGGCACGACAGTAGCTCCACCATCTCCTAACGGTGATTATGAAATCGGACTCAAGCAACTTGCTTCGATGAACATGGATCATAATATTACAGCACTGCAACAATATGGAGGGGTAACACTTCCTTTTTCCCTTCACCATCTCTCTAGGAAGTTTGCTAACATATGCTATATGCATAAATATTAATGTCGACCGTCATTTTATTCAGGTTAAAGGGTTGGCAGAAATGATAAAAACAGACGTCGAAACAGGGATATACGGCGACGAAAATGAGTTATCACGAAGAAAGAATGCTTTCGGCTCAAACACGTATCCCGTGAAAAAAGGAAGGAGTTTCTTGGTAAGACTTGTCTAGAATGTTATATTTGTTTGATAGGATGTTCTTACTTATACATTTCCACCGTTTACTTATTCGACGTTTGTTTTTGCGCAGAGATTCCCATGGGAGGCTTGGCAGGATCTAACTCTCATTATTTTAATAATAGCCGCCGTGGCCTCTTTGGCTCTCGGAATAAAAACTGAGGTTGGCTTGAAATACAACAATACCATATTATTAAAAGAATTTATATAATTTCCTTCATATATAAATTTAAGAATTGCTCGTGTTTTCCAGGGCCTGGAGGAAGGATGGTACGACGGAGGAAGCATCACCTTTGTTGTTCTTCTGGTTATTTTTGTTACAGGTTAGAAAATTCAGATTGGTTATTTATAACCTTAGGAGAGAAGTAATATAATTTCACTTTTTATCATTGCATTTGTTGTTCAGCAACTAGTGATTATCGGCAGTCCCTCCAATTTCAAAATTTAAACGAAGAAAAACGGAACATCAAATTGGAGGTAATATTCCAGTCACGAACTTATTCAAGCTTTTACCTTCTTGTTATTGTTCTCTTTAGAGTACTCTCATGGACAAACATATGTACAGATGATCAGAGGTGGCAGAAGAAACAAGGTTTCGATATACGAGATTGTGGTTGGAGATGTCATACCTCTCAAGATTGGTGATCAGGTGATAACAGATCCGATTTTACTCGATATACTTTCTTGGACCACGCATCATTGTCTAAAAGAGTTTCCTAATGTATTTTACACAGGTTCCTGCCGATGGAATCTTGATAGGCGGACATTCTCTCGCCATTGACGCATCCAACATGACTGGAGAAAGCAAGATTGTGAGCTGCTTAGACTTTATTTTGAAGGTTTTATAATATTAGATAATTATATTTTTATTTCTCACACACAATGCCATTATTGCAGGTCCACAAAGACCACAAATCTCCATTTTTTATGTCTGGTTGCAAAGTAGCAGCTGGTGCCGGAACAATGATGGTAAGATATAAAACTTTCCCACCTCCAGTAAACGAATTTTCGACCACGCTTAATTTCTGTTCCAATTTCAGATGTTGAATTATTATAACAAGTTCAAATTTCTGTTTCAGGTAACTGGTGTCGGAATCAACACCGAATGGGGATTGTTGATGGCCAGTATTTCAGAAGATACCGGTGAAGAAACTCCTTTGCAGGTACTTATTGGATATAACGGTTCATCTTTTCATTGTTTACTTACTACATGAAAATAAATAAAACCAATTATGGATCTTGTTGATACATTACAGGTGCGCCTGAATGGTGTTGCAACGTTTATAGGCATCGTTGGGCTCACCGTGGCTCTCTTCGTGCTGATTATTCTCTTAATCAGGTAATTTGGGCAGTGTTTCGTGTTATCTTATTCTACGACCACTTTCTGAGTATCAGTAACATTGACAAATTAATTACCTCAGATTTTTCACGGGGACGTAAAAAAATCCCGATGGATCTGTTCAGTTCGTCCATGGAGAGACCAGTGTTAGCGAAATAGTTGATGGGGTTATACACATATCATAACTGCTGCTGTAAGTTTCTACATTTTGATACGTAATTGCGAATACGTTAGATAACCTTCTTTTTTCTGTTCATTGACTGAAGTCCTTCGTTTGGGTCACGATAGTGGTGGTTGCAGTCCCGGAAGGGCTCCCGTTCGCTGTAACCTTGTCGTGAGTATCATAACTTGTCTTTTGTGTACATCAATTGTTGCCGTTTTGTCCTTATTTTGATTTCGATTTATCTTGAACTTATAACAGCCTAGCATACTCCATGAAAAAGATGATGGCTGACAAGGCCTTGGTATGTCGACTTTACTTCATCTTTCCCAGAATATTTAGTTTATTCAATTGTATTATAGCTTTATTATTAACTCAACATATCTTTCAGGTGCGTAGACTTTCCGCCTGTGAAACCATGGGATCTGCAACAACCATTTGCAGTGACAAGACTGCAACATTGACACTAAATCAGGTTATTTTACTTTCTCTGTCCTTTTTTTTTCCGACTTTGGTGTAACTAACTTTGACAAACTACGTAAGACAGATGACTGTAGTTGAGGCTTATGTTGGGAAACAGAAGATGGATCCTCCTGAAGACGGTGCTCAGTTGCATGCAACAATTTCCTCTCTTCTAGACGAGGGACTTGCACAGAACACTTCCGGCAGTGTTTTTCTATCTAATGTATTCTTTTCATCAGTACGTGAGTGCACGTGAGCATGGATTTTTCAAGTCTTTTCGTAAATAAATGTCTGTGCTTCGGAAGGGAGTGTGATCATTAACCGAGTTTTTATCTCTTGTAGTGTTTGGGAGGGTGCAATGGAGGTTTCGGGATCTCCAACCGAAAAAGCTGTCCTTCAATGGGGTGTTAAGGTACTTTTAAGTCGTATGATTGTGTATCTATATTTCCAAGTTTTAACATAACTCAGGTACTGACCATCTGTAAGAACCAATATTTTCTTGCAGTTAGGAATGAAGTTCGACGTTGTGAAATCAGAATCCGTAGTTCTCCATGTCTCTCCTTTCAATTCCATTAAGAAGCGAGGGGGTGTTGCAGTAAGAGGAAAGGTAACGATTCATTTATTCGATGCTTTTATGCTCATGTTTATAGTGGTTCTTCTTCTTTGTAGGTGAAGTAAAAATAGGTGTTTCAGTTTTGCACAAAAATAAACACATAGGTGCCTCGAGCAAATTATTCCTGCATTAAGAGAAGATTTAATTGTTTACTGATCTCGTTATAGATCTGATTTTGGGGAATAGAATATTTTCGATGCCTTTTTTGTTCGACAGGAGAGAGAGCTACTAAACTATTTCCGATGCACTGTCGTTCTAACTTCCGTTAAAGGCTACCGGAATAAAGGCATGCGGTACGAAATAAGCGATGGCTGCAGTGTGTAACTGCCTCGGCCCAAGACCTGTTTGAAGGTAATTTTTGTGCTTCTCGTATTTTATTCGATGTTAGGAACAGTAAAAGTAAATTATGCCATTTTACCTGTCTATGGCTCTGATAGGAAAAATGAACTTCAAGGGCAAGCTGAGGGAGCTCCCGGTAATGGTTATGTCGTCGGAGAACGTTTTGCTCGCAGTGATAGGTATTAGCCTATATCAAGATTTTATTATTACTATTATTATTATGAAATATATATCCTGTTTTCAGTATCTAGATTCTTGTATAATGGGAGATGGTTAGTCTAATGACAATGCGGATGAAGGTTTTACAAATGGTTATATGTTCCTTGAATTTCTCATTATGTTGAGTTTGCGATTTTCTTTATTTATTCTTTTGGTGCTGGGAAATTATATGACATTGGATTATGATTTAGGGGTAATATGCTTGGAGTCACTCAAACTAAACATAATTTGAACTAAATGATAAGTCCAAATTCATTCTTTTAATTAAATCCTTAATTTGAAATAATATATGAGGCACATTCCTAATTTTTTTTATATCCCAATCTTGCCCTTATACCCTAAATTCTCTAACCTACATATATTCACGTTTCTTTTATTCTTTCGGTATTCTATCCGTTCTCTCTATCTCTCACACGTTCTCTCTCGTTTTTTTCCTCACCTTTCCATCTCTATATCTCTCTCCATCTCTATATCTCTCTTGCTTTCTTCTCCAATTGTAGCACAAGGCAAAGGGCCGTGGTGCACGAGGCGGCAGCGGAGGGTCGTGGTGGTGGAGGTGGCGGCAGGGGGCTTTGATAGTCGATGCGAGCCGGGGGCTGTCCCGCCATAGTGGTCGAGGCGGCGACGGGGGCTGTTCCGCGCTATGGTGGTTGTAGCGGCCGTGGTGGGGGCTGTGGAGGTCGATGAGCGGTGAGGGATGTGATTATGGTGGAAATTTAATTGAAAGTATATTCTTTACTAATTGCTTCTGATTTTCTTGATCTTCAAGAGATTTTGTTTGATTTGGGTTAAAAATGGTAAATCTAGGTTTTCTCAATGTTGGTAGTTGACTATGTTTGCGACGGCTGCGAAGGTAGGCGGCTAGGGTTTGGCGGCTAGGGTTTGACGGCTAGGGTTGGTGAGATTTGTGTTGTTGACTGCTAGGGTTTTGTAGTACACCGTAGTAGATCATAGTACACCGCAGTATACTATAGTCTACTACAATATTGAAAAAAATAGATTAAATTAAAAAAAATTAAAAAAATGTAATTTGAATTTTAAAAAAACGGAAAACACGTTGTTTTTGTAATTTTCAATATTATGTAGAAAAAAATGATTTTTTTTAATAATACTTTAATGTATAATACAACAGGGTACCATAGTATATCATAGTACACCATAGTAGTTTTTAAAATCTGCTTTATTTTTTAATAAAAACGAAAAAAAAAATCGTAATTTTCAAATCAAAAAAATGGAAAAAGATAATTTGTTTATAATAATGTAAAAAACGATAAAGTAAAAAACAATAAAATAAAGATGAGTAAAAGGGCATTTTTGGAATGAATTTAATAAAGAATGTGAAGCAAATGTTTAGTTGAGGTTGTCATTTAGTTCTATTTAGTTTTGTCACCAGGGACCTATCTCTTAAGACCCCTATGATTTATGATTCAAATCATACGATTCAATTCATTCATACCTGACTCGATTCAAATGTCAAAATAAATTTTTTAATATAATCAAATCGATCAAATTTTACGGTTTACGATGGGAGAAAATGAATGAATTTACGAAAAAATTAATTTATTATATTATTTATATCATAAACTTGGGATAATTACAGATTTGGTCCCTATATTACATACATTTTTTTGAAATTTTGGTCCATAAATAAGAAATGCAACCCAAGTGGGGGTCAATTTAAAATTTCTGGAAATCCACTCCCCCGACTGAAACAGTTTTCCTTTTCCTTTTGGTCCTTAAACCATAAATGCCACTCAATTTGAAAATTCTGGAAATCTAACTACCTGGCTGAAATGTTTTTGAAAATTACAGAATCATCCCTATACTGACTCCCATCTTCCCTGCTGCTCCACCTAAATTGCAAATTTAACCCCAAAATGCATCTCTCTTGCAATATCAGAAATATCTGCCACCAACGCAGTATGCTTCTATTCCTCCTCAGCTATAATCGCGCGTGACTCATTTACGAAAATTCCCAATACCGAGTTTAAAATCTTATGATTTACAATTCAAATCTTACTATTCAAACCGTTCATACCTAAGTCGATTCAAAAGTTAAAATAAATCTTAAATATCAACAAAACAATCAAATTTTACAATTTATGATTTAGGAAAACTATAATTTATTATATTATTTATAATAAATTTGCGAAAATTACAATTTTTGTCCCTATATTGTATACAGTTTTTTATTTTAATCCTTAAACCGGAAATGCCCCCAAGTTGAGGTCAATTAGTAATTTCTGAAAATCCACCTCTCTAAAATAGCTCTGGAAATTGCAGAATCACCCTATACTTACTCCATCTTCCTAGCCGCTCCACCCAAATTGCAATTTTGCCCCAAAGTGGATCTCTCTTTCAACATCCAAAATGTCCGCCACATTTATGAAAGTTCGCAATTCCGAGCATAAAATCTTATGATTTACGATTCAATTCATCTATATCTATGTCGATTCAAATGTTAAAATAAATCTCAAATATCAACAAATCGATCAAATTTTACGAATTTTCGTCCCTATACAATATACCTTTTTATTTTTATTTTTTGGTCCTTAAACCAGAAATGCACCACAAGTGGGGGTGAATTTGTAATTTCTGGAAATCCACCTCCCTGGGTGAAACAATTTTGAAAATTGCAGAATCACCCATATACTTATTCCATCTTCCCTGCCGCTCCACCCAAATTGCAAATTTAACCCCAAAGTGAATCTCTCTTGCAATATCCGAATTATCCGCCACCAACGCAGTATGCTTTTACTACTCCTCAGCTATAAACATGTGTGACTCATTTACGAAAATTCGCAATACCAAGTATAAAATCTTATGATTCACGATTCAAATCTTACAATTTAATTCGTTCATACCTAAGTCAATTCAAAAGTAAAAATAAATCTAAATATCAACAAAACGATCAAATTTTACGATTTAAGAAAACTATAATTTATTATATTATTTATAATAAACTTGCGATAGTTACAGCTTCTGTCTCTATATTATATACATTTTTTAATATCGGTCCTTAAATCGGAAATGCCCCCAAGTGGAGTTCAATTTTTAATTTCCGAAAACCCACCTCTTTAGCTGAAAAAGTTCTGAAAATTGCAGAATCACCCCTATACTTGCTCCATCTTCTTAGCCGCTCCACCCAAATTGCAAATTTGATCCCAAAGTGGATCTCTCTTTCACTATCCAAAATATCCGCCACATTTACGAAAATTCGCAATACCCAGCACAAAATCTTATGATTTACGATTCAAATCTTACGATTCAATTCAGTCATATCTATGTCGATTGAAATGTTAAAATAAATCTTCAATATCAATTAATCGGTCAAATTTACGATTTTTGGTCCCTATATTATTATACCTTTTTTTTTTTTTTTTTTTAATTTTGTTCCTTAAACCAGAAATGCACCCTAGTGGGGGTCAATTTGTAATTTCTGAAAATCCACCTCGCTGACTTAAACAGTTTTAAAAATTGCAGAATCACCCGTAAACTTGCTCCATCTTCCCACAAGCTCCACCCAAATTGCAAATTTAACCCCAAAGTGGATCTCGATTGCAATATCCAAAATATCCGCCACCAAAGCTGTATACTTTTACTACTCCTCACCTATAAACGCGTGCGACTCATTTACGAAAATTCGCAATACCGAGTATAAAATCTTATGATTTACGATTCAAGTCTTACAAGGTAATTCGTTCATACCGAAGTCATTTCAAAAGTAAAAATAAATCTTAAATATCAACAAAACGATCAAATTTTACGATTTACGATTTAAGAAAACTTTAATTTATTATATTATTATAATAAAATTATGACAATTACAGATTTGGTCCCTATATTATATATCATTTTTAATATCAGTCCTTAAACCGGAAATGCCCCCAAGTGGAGTTCAATTTGTAATTTCCGAAAATCCACCTCCCAGGCTGAAATAGTTCTGAAAATTGCAGAATCACCCCTGTATTGCCTATACTTGCTCCATCTTCTTAGCCGTTCTACCCAAATTGCAAATTTGACCCAAAAGGGGATCTCTCTTTGACTATTCAAAATATCTGTCACATTTACGAAAATCCGCAATACCGAGCACAAAAATTTATGATTTCAAGTCTTACGATTCAATTCATTCATATTTGTGTCGAATGAAATGTTTAAATAAATCTTAAATATGAACTAATCGATACAAAATTACGATTTTTAATCCCTATAAACAGTTTTAAAAATTGCACAATCACCCCTATACTTACTCCATCTTCCCACCCGCTCCACCCAAATTGCAAATTTAACCCCAAAGTGGATCTCTCTTGAAATATCCGAAATATCCGACACCAACGCAGTATCCTTTGACTCCTCCTCATCTATAATCGCGTGTGACTCAGTTACGAAAATTCGCAATACCGAGTTTAAATCCTTATGATTTAAGATTCAACTCTAACGATTCAATTCGTTCATATTGAAAAATTAAAATAAATCTTAAATATCAACAAAACAATAAAATTTTACGATTTACGATTTAAGAAAACTTTAATTTATTATATTATTTATAATAAACTTATGATAATTACAGATTTGGTCCCTATATTATATACCATTTTTAATATCGGCCCTTAAACCGAAAATGCTCCCAAATGGAGGTAAATTTGTAATTTTCGAAAATCCACCTCCCTGGCTGAATCAGCTCTGAAAATTGCAGAATCACCCCTATACTTACTCCATCTTCTTAGCCGCTCCACCCAAATTGCAAATTTGACCCCAAGTGGATATCTCTATCACTATCCAAAATGTCCGCCACATTTAGGAAATTTTCTCAATACCTTGCAAAAAATCTTATGATTTACGATTAAAATCTTACGATTCAATTCATTCATATCTATGTCGATAGAAATGTTAAAATAAATCTTAAATATCAACTAATAGATCAAATTTTACGATTTTTGGTCCCTATATTATTGTACCTTTTTTTTAT